TGATACATCTTCTCATCTTGCACTGCTAAATACCTGATGATTAATTTCATCCCTACCCAAGAAACACAATATCATGTTATGACGCATTTGTTTCCCAGATTTCCATAAAACAGATGCGATTATGTGCTATGCTGTGTCCAAATGCACTTAGTATAATTTCTGTCCATCTTGACTGGTACATTATGTTTCACAAACACAGCTTTCAGTGAAAGCACAGTGCCCATTATTGCACTAAAAGAAAATAAGATTGATCAGTATTATATTATCACACATGAAACATTCGCAGGAGCACAGCCAGACCAACGTCCAAAACAATAACAGCAATGTGCTATTACATAATAAGTCCTGATTAACTTAAATTGGACATTATGCTTTCTGTCCTATCTCTCTCTTGTGTTTCATATTAACCCTGGGCTTTTGTGTTGTATATATTATAGTCTCATTGATGATATTAGAAGCACAGGAGCGAGTGGTGCATTGTACTCTATTGATGCACAGAATATTATGCAACAACTAAAATTTCATAAAGTGATCTCCGGACTTTTGACCTGTGACCAATAATTTTTTATTTAATGTGTTATGATTAAAATGTAAATGCAACGCTTATCATGCATCTTTATTCTTCTATAGTAGCTGGCTTGAACCTTTTTCTCCCAGAAAGCTACCCTGTAAGCGGTCCTGGGAAAAATGAGTTGATGTATTGGAGTCTGATATCTGGGACAATCTTTATATCAACAATACACTACCGTTCAAAAGTTTGGGGTCACATTGAAATGTCCTTATTTTTGAAGGAAAAGCACTGTAGATAACTTTAAACTAGTCTTAACTGTAAAGAAATACACTCTATACATTGCTTATGTGGTAAATGACTATTCTAGCTGCAAATGTCTGGTTTTTGGTGCAATATTGTAATTGCTGCAAATGGAGGATTCTTTGACAAAAGCAAAGTTGGATGTAAAACAAATCTTATTTCAAATACAAATCATTATTTCTAACCTTGTCAATGTCTTGACTCTATTTTCGATTCATTTCACAACGTATAGTGGTGAATAAGTGTGACTTTTCATGGAAAACCCCAAACTTTTGAACGGTAGTGTAAGTAATTATCATATAATCATTACAAAGTAAGTTTGCATTTACAATAGTTGTGAGCAGGAGAATAATACATTCTGAAATATTCAGTCTATTTGGTTGATCATTTCTAAATCCTTTGGGGAGCTGGAAGGGGGCGGCGAGCTACTGGTGGCTCCCGGGCTACAGGTTTGAGACCCCTGAACTGTAGTTTAGGGATGTCCTGGTCACTATCTTGTGCCCCTGTTCCGATTGTTAAACTTCAAATCCGATACAATTTCAAGTCATGCTTTTAAAGGCACACCGCGGACTTTGTGACCTAAAGAGTTGACACATATGAGTTATTTTATATGAATACTTGGGCCAATATACAGCGCTTGACACTTGCAATGCTCCGAGCGGGGCTGCCCTCTTGAAATACCGCCCATGTAAGTTTCGAGCAGACGGACCGTCTGCCACCAGGTCACGTGACTTGGAAGAAAGACTTGCTTTACGGCTACAGGCGCTGATATACTCATGGAGCTAAGGCTTTTGCTACTCATTTTTCACCTGCTCGACTCCTGGTCATGGCTGAGGCAAGGAAAAATTTTAAACCTTCGGAGGAGGCTAAAAAGAGGAAACGCGAAAGGGATCGTGCTGTAAGCTGCATGTCTGTATGAGCGCTGCTCTTCACCTGGTTCCTGGATGTCATCGACTGCAAAGATGTCATTCCACGCAGCACGAGCTAGACGCAGAACTCCCTCATCCAGGATATAGAAGTCCATGTGTGGTAGATTACTAATGCAGCTGTCTGGAGGCTGACCACAGCAGAGTCTCTCAATATCTGTAGGCATGTCTCTACAGTTTGAACACACACACCAGTGCATGCTGTCTGAATACACACTCAAAAGACACCGGCTGACTGTTTGTTGACTTTTGCGACAGTGCTGAGTTGCTTGTGGCCACTAGGGGCGCTAAACGTGAAAGTTGCAGGTCTAGCGCCCCTAGTGGCCAAGAGTTACACGGTGTGCCTTTAATCATTGGTATTCTAAATTATAAAACTAAACTTTTAGCAACTCCTCATTTATATCATTTATAAATTATGCATCAATATTTCTCCTCAATGTTGGCTGGACAGAGACAGAGTTTTGTATAGTGTTGGAATTTGGCGACTAATGGCATCTGCATGGGGAAAAAGAAGATCCTTGGTTTGGGATCATTTTTTATCTTATTCATCTATTGTCATCTACCATTTATGTTTAATGGTGAAAATGTCATTATTATTAAAAGTATTGTGGTGTTCGCTGTGCATTAAAGTATCAGAAGAAGTATCTGAAGCTGCAAAGAAAGCCTTGGTGTGTTACGGGGCTTCATCTGCCCATCACTACGAAATTGGAATGTAGTGTAACCTGAAGCCAAATACTCCCTTTTGGCTC